GGCAAGTGGGCTGGCCGATCAGGGTCAGTTACAATGTTGCTAAATGCCACGCTGACCTTGTTCACATCACATGCAGGGTCTTGCTTGCTTCCTCCTCTGCCAGTGATGGAGTTTAACAGGGACCACATCTTCCTTGGATTGCGATTGTTGACAACACATTCATCACTGAAGTACAGGTTTTTCCTCCGTCTGACAAGGTTTGCTGCCGCCGTTCGAGCACGTTTGTACTGGTGGAATAATGCTATGTTAGCCCGGTCTCGCAGCCATCTTCGGTGCAGCCTGTTCTTTGCCATCGTTAGCTGGTAAGTGTCTCTGTTAAGCCATGGCCTTCTTCTGGAACGCTTCTTAACTGGGGTCATCGGGGCATGATGGTCCAGTACACGCATTATGCTAGCGTGCCAAGTGGACCACATATCGTCGACGCTCGCATGTGGAGGAAAAATGTGAAGGTCTGCTGCAAGCAGGTCAGCGCGGAGAGCTGCTATATCCACTCTGTGCAGCTGCCTAGTGAGGAGCGAACTCGCTGGCTGGCTTACTTCAGTAGCACAGCTGAGTGAAGCACTCACAGCAAAGTGATCGCTGATGTCACATGGTACGATGTTCCAGGATGTTAAGCTGGCATGGTTGACCAAGACTAGATCTAGTATGGTTCCACGCACACATTGGGGCAGAACACGAGTTGGTGCTGTCACAACGTTCTGCAGTCCATAGCTTCCACACGTGTCATGCATGTGGCGCAATTGTGGGCCAGGAGAAACTGGGTCAGCATTTACATTGAAGTCGCCCATCATAGTGACCGATCCGGTGTTGTTGGTGGCTGCCTGTAAGACAGTCTCTAGTCTGGGCCAGAACGCAACTGTTTCACTTGGCGGCCGGTACACACACCCTAAGAGATGAGGCGCCCGGGCACCTTTAAGCTCGATCCAGGTGCACTCTACATCATCCGCCGTCAAATCCGGGCGAGGCTTCACGGGGAGGGTCGACCTGAAGTAGATACATGTTCCACCTCCTCTTCCACCGGCACGGTCCTGACGGGCAATACTGAAGTTTGGGATCCGGATTTCTCCATCAGACACTGTGCCATCAAGCCATGTTTCAGCAACACCGACTATGTCCCAGCACTGGTCCGCGATCAGCTGCTCCAGGGCGTCGACTTTGTGCCGAAGGCTACAAATGTTGATAAAGCCAAAGCGTACCCAGGAATTTGCTGGGGCGCCTTGATGGGACCGTGGTGTAAATGGTATGGCATTAGGGTTGAGATGTCTAGTGAAAAGACCCGGAATAGATGGGGCGGCATTAGGATTAGGTTCGAGTCCTGTTGGAGAATTAGGGTCACCCAGTGCTGCCATCATTCTTTATCACTGGTCGGATCTGTGGTGGAATGTTTACCATTGCTGCTGCCAAGATTGTCTTGTGATGCTGCATTCTGATGTTGGTCACGGTCTTTAAACTGCCATGGTCTGGCGTACAGAGGTCTTGGCCAGAAGTTTGGGGATACAACAAGCAAGAGGGCACTTGCTTCAACCATTAGTCGTGCTGACACCTTTCCATTTTCTGCTCTGTGCATGCTGCAGTCATGCACAGTGGTCTCTGCTCCAGCCTTGGCTGACCTTTGTTTCACGAAAGCTGCTAGACTCTCCTCAGTGCAGGACTCGCTCAGATTCCCAACGTACAACATGGCTTTCTTTGGCCTGGGTGGCTCCGCTGACACCAACTGCCAACTGTCATCTGCAATGACATCCAGGATGGCTTTACTTCTTCCGTCATTGCGCTTGGCCTGCTGGAGCTTGGAGCCTTTACCTGCTGCAGGGTGTGTAGCTTCCTGATCACTGTTTTCAGTGTCGTCAGTGTCACTGACGCTGTCACAGACGCTACGGTGTGCAGTTGTAGTACTCATACAGTTACTGGGGTCATTGGTGCCCGTAGCTGCACGGCCAGCTTTCCTGGCTGAGCGTCTACGGGATGTCTTGCTCGTACGCTGGCACTGGGCCTGGGGAGAGACACTCGCCGAAACAATGGCGGCTTCTTTGAGCGAAACAACATCCTCACTGAGTGCATTCACTTGCTTCGTCAACAGGTCGATCTTGTTCAGCAGGCGTGTCTCCCGGTCGGCCGACTGTGACACGAGGGAGGACAGTGTTGTGACTAGTTCTACGACAGAAGTCTCAATTCCTGGGAGGGAACTCAACAGTTTGATCTCCGACTCGGTCATCCCGCGAATGGCGGTTTTTCCAGATCGGGACATCTCGGCCCACTAAATGCTACTGCTAGGCTGCTACCTAATGAACTATCTATTACTAATTAACTATCCAGTACCTACCCTTCTCCAGACCGGCCTACTGCCGGCTGGCTACTGCAAAACCTGCGAAAACTGCGGAGCTCAAAAAAGCTAACTGCATTCGCACAGTAGATCTATCGATGAAAAGTTAGTGTGTTACTGTGTATGTGGTGTGTTCATGCGTGTGTACACAAACGTGCATATGTATGTGTGTGTGCGTGCGCGCGTGTGTACATGTACGTGTGTGTTGCTGCTGCTGCTTTTGCGGTTGTGCCGTGTTACCTTGGTTTCTGTTGCTGTCTTGACTTATTCGGATCTGGTTGTTTGCTACCAAACGGATTAACAAAAATTAGCGCAGTGTAACATGACAATTCGGTCCGGCGAGGTCAAATTCCCGGCGGGAATGTATGCTGTAAGGTATACACACACTGTGGCCGTATTGGATTTATAATAATAATGGTCATCCAGCCACGTCACAACCACCATTATTATTATTATGGTGGTTGTGAAGTGGCTGCATGACCTCGTCCTGGTGTGTGTGTGGGGAAGGTGTGTGTAGGGGTACTGATGCCGAGAGATGCCGAGGCTTGTCGCGCACTGTTTATTTGAATTGACGGACGGTCTTGGAGACCTGTCGGTACAGAAAATGATCGCGGTGGTTGAAAACTTTACTAAAAGCAGAAAGATGTTCTAAAAATGTCTTTCCATGGCAATGGGATGTGTGAACGTTCGAATGACCCAGTTTACGTAGATCTGAACATAGTCGTAGTGCATACAGTAAAACCTGTCAAGGCGACCACTCGGATAAGGCGACCACCTGTCCTAGAAGACCACTGAAACCAGGGCCAAGTGATGCTATTTCCAGTCAACTGACCTTGTACAGTATAAGGAAACCACCTGGTAGTGGTAACAGAGACCACGCTTTGCAGGTCCCATGACTCGCATGAGCGGTCGTAGACAGGTTCCACTGACTGTACGAGGTCGTACTTGGCTCGTGTTGGTGATGTGACGTGACACGCTCAGGCGCGCCGCGTAGCGAGAAAGTACTCTACCGGCGGTAGTTACCGCGCCGCTCGAGTTTGAACTGCGGCCTTTGCGGCCGCGCCCCCTTCACCAAAACCATCGGACAAAACTGGCTGACGTTTGACCAGTAATTTTGTGACTGATTTTGCAGCTGATTTTCGGTATAGTTTTGAGTTGAAAAGGAGGAAGACATCGGAGATCGGGACTCAGGAGAGTAGCAAACATTTCTATTATGAGCTGAACTTCAGAAGTAGCAATGGTGGACAATCCTACAGCCGATTGGAATGCTCTCGGGCCTGTGTTTTACAGGTAAAGTGCTCAGTCCTGAGTTTACTTCACTTTCAGCCAATTACAAATGCGATTCCCATTTGTGGACTCTTGAACGTTCCCGTGTGCAGGAAATTTGAGGTGTATTCTATGCAATGGCGCGACCAAGTGGACCTGAGTCAGTATCGCACCGCCGCAGCTCCTTATGGCGGTCCCATAGGTAATTTTCTGTCTAAAACTGGAAACATGATTTTGAATTTGAAAAGTGTGAGGACTTTGGAATGAAACCATTTTTATGGCATCAGGGGAAATTTGAAGCAGTAGAACGTTTCTGATAATCAGGAATTAAAAAAGAGGGCCAAAAGTTTACAAGTTATCTGTTTTGTCCAACACTAACGGTTATAAGCAGAATACTGTTGAGTCAAAAATGTGCAACAATTAGCACAAAACTGACTGATGAGATCATGACATTCAACGAAAAACGGATAACTTGTAAACTTTTGGCCCTCTTTTTTAATTTTAATCCTTGGCTCTCCATCCGAGAATAATCAGGAATGACTATGAATTCCACTGCAAAGGCTAGGTTTTAACTAATAATACTTCTAGCATTTGGCACCAGCATCCCTTGCCAGTCTGATTCACATCACCCCGATGGCAATTATTTCCTTGTCATGCATACCCATCTACACATATCCAACATTCAGGAGCATACTGTACATTGGGAAACCTCCGCAATCTGGAAGCTTTTGCGATTTTTACGATGGGTGTAAAATCGCAAAAGTAGAACTGCAGTATAGAAAACACACCAATGAAATTGACTCCATTCGCAAACATTTCCAGCGGCAAACTGGTCTGCTAGTGAATCGTGAAGTAAAGCCGGCGTCGATGTTTCCTGGTTTACAATAGTAAAGTACGGTAAACCTGCCCTAGCCGTATGCCCTTGGTGCATCGGAAACTGTCCTGATGTGACAGGATTCCGCTTGATCCAGGGATGCACGCTCGATCCACAGCACTTTGGTGCATGACAATTTGTCCGGTCAATACAGGATTCCGCTTGGTACAGGGCCCGGCAAACACGGGTTTTACTGTGTATTCCAAGTGATTCCTAGTCAGCAGTCAGCCACGTCTACTCTCTCGGTATCAGCCCGCAGCAGGATACTGTTGTTTTAGGCACTGTGTTGGCAGGATTATCAGGTTCCCTGACATGCTATGCGCCGGTCGATGAACACAGCGGAGGGTATGGCCGTATACATGTAGCAGCATGGGTACTGTGACGCCCTTTCATGTATTGTTCTAGGAGTTTACTGTATGAAAAGTTGCATGAACTCGCTGCCTGATGTCAGTCTTCCCTGCGTTCACACTCTATCTTTAGAACGTGCTAGGAGTCAGTGAAGACTGGAGAGGTTCAACAATCTTGTCTTTTGGGCTCGAGAGGTTTAGTCACTCGTCACTGCTCTTCACTGCGTATTTGGAAGGGCATGTACTGTGTGGGGTCATGGCTTGGCACCAAGACATACGTACTCGGGTAGCACTATGCAGACAAACAGCACAGATCCCGGTCTACCGTATCGTTTTGTGGAAATGAGTCAAGCATACATGGTCCATCGTAACGTAGCCTCCCTAATGTATGTAGAGTGGTTCAACAATCTGCTTCTGAGAGTTAACTAGAATAAAATTAATTTTACTGTTTGCACGAGGATCCTCCGGGTGTACCTTCGTAAGATTACAAAAAGAAAGAAAGAAAGAAGCGATGTCACGTGTTTGCATGCGATGCATCACTTGTGTTTGAACAACTGCCTTTGATGTCCTAATGGCCGGAAGAGTAAATGAATAATGGACGGTATGTTGTACATTGTACTTGGCTTTGCTTTCAGCATTGATGAAAGATGACCGTCGGTCACGGCAGTCTGCTGCTGCCAAGCCGCTCATACGCATCTACAATGGTGCCGGCCAGGAGCTCTCTGTTATCAAGGTCAGTTCTGCTCAGTGATCTGGAATGGAATCAGTCAGGTGTCTATGTGACCCTGAAGCACGTATGTGTGATATGTGGTGCAGGAGGGCAATGTCCTCCAGGCAGTGAAGTGCAAAATGTGTGTCTCAACAGCCATCTGTGATTACATGTACCCTTGCTCTTTCATGTCGGTGTACTGTTCGGAATTGAGGCCTTGATACTTCTCCGCATTCACATGCATGTATTCTAGCGCACATACTGGCATGTGGAGGCATACATACATGTGCCTCCTTTGTGTATTTGCCCCCTTTGTGTATTTGCCGACCTTAGTGCATTCCTGTTCTCTTCTCGTCTGGTTGCTTTCACCTTGTCTCTTGCAGTGGGATTGGACAGGACGTCTCGTAGCAATGGAGTGGTCTATGACTGAGGACCTGGTGTGTGTCCTAGATGATGGCTCGGTTGTCTTGCACGGCATTGATGGCCAGCACAAGCGATTGTTCAGCATGGGCCAAGTGAGTAGCAAACAAGACTACACATGCTCAGCATGTAACAGCCTGCCTAACATTGCACTGGTATTCCTGTGTTTGAGCTTGTCTGTGCTTGCATCGGCATAGCACACATTGGGCTGAAATACGCTTCGTAAGGAGAGACGAAGTTCTGTTGCAGCTCTGATTTTTCGTGTTTCTGACCAGTGAGTTGCATGTTGATCTCGAGAAATATGAAGCTCAAGAGTTGCAACAGCCCTTCCTTTCTCGTTACTGTGTGAAAAACGCTCTGCCTCCGGGCATAGAGTACCGTAAAAGTCCGTAAATAAGTGCCTGCCCGAAAGAAATACCCCCTTCATTCTTTTGGCTCTGTCTGTTGAAGTCAAGTCAAGCCCGATAAACATACTGCCCGAAATAAGTACCGGCACGGTGCGCACATGCAGCACGTAGCATGTACATCGACATGAAAATGACTTCTCCACTACACACAAGTCAGGTCCGAAAGTTAGTTCGTGCCCGAAAGTCAGTGCCCGCCCGAAAGTTAGTACGGGTGTGGTCACTAAATTCGAAAGTAAATACGTACTTATTTACGGACTTTTACGGTAGTGTTAGGTACCTCCTCTCGTACCTTTTCTAGTTGGCCTGCATGCACTTACGTACTCACCTTTTGTCTCCTTTTGTTCCGTTGGCCTGGGTAGCTACTTGCGCGCCCATATTTGCCATAGCTACCCAGGCCCTTTATCTTGCCGTTCAGACTTGATCTCTCTCTCTCTTTTCTCACTCGTCAATAATCACCATGTAGTCGTTTCGTTCGTCTTGGTCTCTTGTCTCGTCGTCTATAATAAATGTCGTTCCCACTAACTTGTTCCCGTTGTCAGTCGTCCTGTTTCGAACTCAACATTGGCGCCCGATTATTGATCGACCCACGACCCTGAGATCATCCCATGCCCAGCCGTCCTCAACCACCATTTGTCTCGTCTATGTCAACCTCGTCTCGTCCATGTCAGTCTCGTCTCTCCTACGCCAACCTCGTCTCGTCTCTATCAACCTCGTCTCTCCTACGCCAACCTTACCTCGTCTATTCTCGTTCAAGCCATGCAGGTCAGCTACCTTTCTCTCTTTCTTTTTTTTTGTATGCTTCTTCGTCAAATTTATTTTCGTGAATTTTTTTGTAGTGTGTGCGCGCGCGTGTGTTCGTAAAACATAACCAAGTAAGTTAGGGGTCCGATCATGGTGAGCCACGCTCTAATTTTTGGATGTTTAGCAAAAGTGTAACTAGGCTGTATTAGCCGTGCAAAATACTAGTAATTCACGTTCCTCGTCAAACTCCAATAGTTATTACACACAATAAGTAGTACAGGAATGATGTGTACCAGTGCATTTTTAGTACACACTTTCGTGAGATCCATGCGCGCGTGCAGTATGTGTGTGTGTGTGTGTGTTTTCTCCTCCAGTTCATTTTTTAAAATCTTTTTCTCTCTTTTTTTCTCTCCGCGAGGACGCGGGATTTTTTTCATGGAGGGGTTGTATGTTAGGTACCTCCTCTCGTACCTTTTCTAGTTGGCCTGCATGCACTTACGTACTCACCTTTTGTCTCCTTTTGTTCCGTTGGCCTGGGTAGCTACTTGCGCGCCCATATTTGCCATAGCTACCCAGGCCCTTTATCTTGCCGTTCAGACTTGATCTCTCTCTCTCTTTTCTCACTCGTCAATAATCACCATGTAGTCGTTTCGTTCGTCTTGGTCTCTTGTCTCGTCGTCTATAATAAACGTCGTTCCCACTAACTTGTTCCCGTTGTCAGTCGTCCTGTTTCGAACTCAACAGTAGTCTTTGAGCGGTGGAGCACCCTACATGCTCATTATGCCTATTGGCCCAAAATGGCAAAGCATATTTTGCAGCGGAAACTTTGAATGTTGTGTTTCTCCCATGCTGTTTCTGCACTTGCAGGAATGCCGCGAGCATCGTGTTATTGATGCCAAGGTCTTCAACAATGGTCCGATCACCGGTGTTGCGGTGCTGACGGGTAACTATCAGTTCTATGTTGTCAGTGACGTGACACAGGAGCTGGCCAGGATCCGCCATCTGGCCAGAATCAGTGGTGAGGGTTTTGCCTGGTGAATGCTCGTCATTATTTCTCTGTCCATGGCACTTTATGTCTTGGATCCATCTGCTTTTACTCACACTGCACTGCAGCTTATATTAGGTATTTTTAATCCTGGAATGGTTTGCTCCACACATTTTGCCTTATCTGCTATTCACGATTGGATTTCTGTTGTCGTATATACTATAGTATAGTGTAGAAAACTTGCTCAGAGTAGACTTATGAACCCTGTTTCAACTGCAGGTTTTGAAGCACCGCCGAGCAGCTGGCTTGTTTTGCCGGAGGAGCGGCAAATACGCATTCTGGTGGCGCTAGATAGCCAGATCTACTTGGTCGATGCTGTGCAAGCTGTCTTACAGGTACATGGCATGCTAGTGCCGGGAAAAATGAATTTACATGTATGCCGCTTCTGTGAACGCAGTGCCTGTCTAGGTTGCGTGTGCAGATATCTTGTCCAGTGCCCGGTTTTCAAACCAGTCAATCTCATATTGGAGCAGTCTCACTGCGCGTCATTGCAGTGATGCCTTTGTCAAGTCTTTAAAGAAAAGTGTTTATTACACTGATTTGCATTACACTCATAGTACAGCTGCATTACACTCTTTGAATTTAAATGTTGTTTTTTTGTCTGTCTTTAATTTGAGGGAGTTGAAGGCTTTCTTGCCCATTTTCCTGTCATTTTCCTTGTGTGGGATCGGGTACATGTTTTACATTTTGTGCTGTTCTTGTTCACAGCGTCCACCTGTGGACAACATGCCGTCCTCCTGGATAGCAATGGCATCGTCCTTCACTCACAAGTTCCTTGCAATGTTCGGCAACAACGGTGTTCTCTGGGTGGGCACATCAAATTTAAAGGTAGGTTAACCTTCAGGAAGGTTTACAAAAAGTCGAAAAGACAAGAAAACGTACTCACTGCTGACTAAAGCTTAGCACCGTTTCTTTACGATCATCCCTTACACCGAGCTAAGTTTTAGTTGACTGATAAAGTATAAAACATGTCAGTCCATGAGCAGACGTCTCAAGGTAAACACTCGTAACACACAAGTTGAAGGTTTCGACATCCTAGTACCGTATTATCTCTAATATAAGCACGGTCCTTTATTTTTTCAATGTACCTCCGCCCCGTGCTATTAATGGAGACGTTCCTTTATTGGAGACTGTTCCATCAGTATTTCAAGCTCATTTCAGAGGCATGTTTCCATGCCAAAATCATGCCAGACACACACATTTCAGGGTTTTTTTTCGCCGGTACAGATAATGAATTTACACAGTGTGCTTATAATGGAGACTGAGCACTTTATTTTTTGAATGCCGCCCCAAGGTGTTCTATTATTGGAGAGGTGCTATTATTGGAGACTGTGCTTATATTAGAGATACTACGGTATGTTCCTAACACGTTCTGTTACTGCATAGTGATGTGGTATACTGGTACATGTAGATTGTGTTTTTTTTTGGTGTTTCCAGACCATGTAACTGCCTGAGCTTTGTTCTGCTGTTGATTCTCTCTGGATCTAATCTGCTCGGTTATGCTTGTGTTTTGTGTTTTGCATTGTGTTTCTCCCCACAGAATGTGTACTCTGAAGTGAACACGAACCAGCAGGACCGGCAAGATCCTCAAGCCAAACCTGACAACTTAGTTTGGTACGTTGAGCACTGCCCTCCCTCCTTGCTCCCATTGTCCCACACCCCGACACACATGATTCCATGAGCTAACACCCGCACAGTACAGTGCTGTGCTGCTGATATGCACTGCAGTGCATGCATGGTGCCGTTGGTGCTGCTGCTGGCCCAATTCATAGCCTTCTCCCTCCTGTTACTCCATTCGCCTCATCTACAGGGTGCGTCCCTTGAAAACCCTTGAAAGTTGAAACCCTGAGAGTTTTTCTTTCCCCGGGAATTCCCTGAAATCCCCTCAAATTTAGTATTTTATAGAAAATGTTCCTTGAATCCCCTGAAATTTGTTTTCCAGATCACGCGATTTGGTAGACCTACGCAGCGACTGACTGTACATGATATGCATAGATCTACGAGTGCCAGTCCGGTCACCTGTACTGGTCATGTGAGTCGACAGCCTCAGCGGCCAGCGCAGCTCGCGTAGATCTTGACGGTATTTTTTTAAGCCTTGATCGCCATGTATGCTCGACTATCGACTGTGGTACGACGGTTCCTGACTGTAGCGAAACTGGAATCCGCCACTGCAACTGCTTTTCCGTTTTATTTGTTTGTTTTGGCCTTCAACAAGACAAAGTGTCTTCAGTTTTTTTTCGGAATGCCGAAGAAGTTTTTACAGAGTTGTACTTGTTCTCCATGCCGAAAGGCAAGTGTGTTTCAACGATCGCTGGTTGTCTTTAAACCCGTACAAAGACTGGCTAGTCCGCTAAGAACTTAGCGATGGAGAAGCATGATGGTGACGGTGGCTCTACTACTTGTAGTATTGATGATCAAATCTTCGATTGTTGACATTCTGAATCAGTGAACCTCTGCGTGACTTCGGATATGTGGTGTCTAGCGACTGTATGACATCTGTGAATACCCTTGAAATGCCCCTGGAAATCCCCTGAAATTTTGTGTATATATTGTGCTACGAACCCTGCATCTAGCATCTCAGTTTATCCCACCTCACCTAACGCACACACGTTTGGTCACCATCGGCACATATTCACTCGCACTAAGTCACTCACGCCTGCAGCAGCCTATATCAAACACATTCTTCGGACAATTTACTTCAAGTAGTCAATGCTCTCTGATGATTGATTCTGCATGAAACTCGGAGTCACAGCGATGATGTTTTGTTTCTCTTCTCTGTACGTGTGTATGTGCTTCATATACTTGCTCTTAGTATATTTGCTGTCCGTGTGCTTTATGTTCCGGTGCAGGTGTGGCAGTGGTGCAATTCTGTACTCGTTCGACACCCTTATCTGCATGGTGGGGCCAGAGAAAGACTGTGCCAAGTATCCTTGCTGTACATTCAGAATTCATCAGAAGGCAGGGCTGAATGTTGTGCTATCTTGTACATGTAGAGTATCCGCCCTATGTCATGGACGTGGGGTGTGTCTTGCGCAAGTGGTGGTGCTAGCCAAGTTTACAATGGAGCTTCTCCTTTTGCAATGTCTTTGATGTTGGCTACCTCTAATTCCACCTGATGTGTATACCATCATGCCCCTGCATGGCCGACGTACTTGTATTAGATGTTCCACAGCATACACGTACTTGGCTTTTAAGCCCGGTCGCAGTATGCATTGCTCAGTACATAGATGACACTGGGAGTCGTAGTGTAGACCCAGCTTACGTATTGTTGCTTGTGAAGTAGATCTCGTCACTGTCCTGGACAGGATGCTCGTGTGAGGATGGAGCCCTGCTCTCTTTCTGCCCCAATGCTCGGACTATGCTCGATGTGTGTTTTAAATATAGTGGATGGCATTGCATGTGGTAGGTAGATACATCGTACTGCTTGTAATCCTTGACAGTCACTTTCACGAATAGGTACTTTATCGAGCCTGGTGTGATCCTAGTGCCTGAGATTGATGGGCTGCGCTTCATCGACAACGCATCTCACGAGTTCTTGCAGAAAGTTCCAGGTGAGTCTTGACTGAGTGTGCGGATTGAGTGGACCAGTGACTGACATTGCATAATGGCCGCTTAATAAAGAAACACGCTCCTCATGAATTCATGGAGAGAAAGGGCTCGTCACGCTGTATATAGGCACAGCTTGTTTGATTACGAGACACGGGCGACATTGCTGTGTTACCAGGCAGCTTGTGTTGCATGCTGGCGTAGTTAGATATTAGTATCATCAGTCTCAATGAATTTGTGTAGAATAATGTGTTGGGTGATACGTCATGTACAAGAAGGAATCACCTGTTCCTCATATGGCATGGTCGAATGTGCTTCACGAGCACCCACTAGACTAAAGTAGTACGTACATGTATCCGGTAGATCTAGACCCAGACAAGCGTAACCAAGCATGCTGACCCTGGATCGTGTTGGCCTGGTCTCATCTGCACTGCTTCTTCCTGCTGCTGGATTTTCACTGCAGATATGGTGGAGAAGGTGCACAAGTTTGGTTCTCTGGCGCCTGGAGCTGTGTTGTACTATGCCATGAAAGAGTTTGAGGTAGGCGCGGTGTGAAGTTGCCAATTGGCATCTTGTCTGGTATTGTGTGCGCCTGTGTGTGTGTGTTAACCCTTTACCATCCGACCAAAATTACCCAGCAGTCCCAAATGCAATAATTCTCACCTCATTCTGAGAATATCTTCGGTTCTAATCAACCAATTTTCACAATCTTGGGCATTCTGGAAGCTCTCCACGAGCTGCGTACATTGAGCTCAAACAGGATACTACCAAGACCACATATCAAGCGCCAGGGAGCTTCAAATACACCCCATCGCTGGATAGACGAGGAAATTCTCTCCTCGCCAGCCATTTCTCGCTCCTTCATCGTAAACATTCCAATTTTTTTGCTTGAGCTCCTTTTCATGCTGCCCACGCGCTCAAAGCATGCCAAAGTGACTCAGCATGTCAGGAGAGGGGAAAATCCCCGCTCAAGGTCAGTCACTCGGAAAGAAATTCGACTTTTGCCGTAGCTGAAATGTCGAGCGAAATATCATTGAAATGCGACATCGCAGCTCTTTACCGATTGATGCAATGGAAAGCTGGGTTCTTCGGCTTCTTCCTAGATATTTAGTTCTTTACATTTCGACAAGAATCGATCGAGTTACGAATGTTTTAGTGGATGCATGTCCATCGATCTCTAGAGATCGATTCAAGTACGCACGGATGGTAAAGGGTTAAGGGTGTCTAGCGGCAGAATCTCTGAAATCACACAAGTCTGGCCAGTATACTGTGAGACGGCCGGTGTTTCTTTTTCAGTTCTGTATATTATGACACGAATCTGCCTCAGAGACTACATGACGGGCCAGGCAAATTTGATCTCTAGAGTATGTCAGATCCGTTTTTATAACCGCAATCATAGGACAAGCTGAATCGACGTGGAATTGTTGTCTCACCGCCGTCTCTTTAGATCCCTTTCTGCCATTGAAATGTGCCCAGCCGCTAAATTTGTTTTGCTCCTTTTGTTTCTATTATGATGGGGTGTGTAGCGGAAAAGCCCGAAGGCTGATGAGTATGTTCGCAGTGTGAAGGAGCACCTGGACGAGGCGATTGATCAGTGCACCCATGCTGCTGGTGATGAGTATGAGCCAGCGAGGCAGAGGAGCCTACTCAGGGTGAGCTAAGGTCTGGGCGTTCCTCCTGTGAAGGGTACTAGCATGTAGCTTGGAACTATTTCTTCAGTGACTGGGAGTGGAGATCTGCTGAGGCGATGTGCATGTTGATCTTTGTGATCTAGGTGTTAATTCAAGTAACGGTAGGTGTGAGTCGTAGGTGTGAGTCGTAGGTGTGAGTCGTAGGTGTGAGTTTTACCTTACTGTACGATGTGCTTTGTATTCTCATATACTGACCTTTGTTGGTTTTTCTCATTATTTCTGCCTGTTGTGTGGATGTAGGCGGCTGGGTTCGGCAAGTGCTTTGTCACGCAGTACGATCCCAAGCCGTTCGTGCAGATGTGCAGCCACCTGAGGGTGCTGAACGCAGTCCGCGATTACCGTGTGGCAATGCCACTGACATACGTACAGTATCCTCCTCATGATGATGATTGCTTGTCGCGCAGCAGTTAGCTGGCTCGGGCCTACTATGAAATTCTCTGGCTTGAGTTATTGTGCTTTAAAGCAGTATGTATTTCATTGGACTGTTATGTCATGGTGGTGTTGGTGGAGGCATTTTTCATGTAGAAAATCGATAATGAATCGACTACAGTGGAGCCTCTGTGCAGTGAAGAAACTATGTATTTGAAATGTTAAATACTAGTTTGCTTGTGCAGGTCCAAGAGAGCAATCTTTCCAGGACGTTTTGCTATTTTTTATGCCAAGCAATACATGGCTGGGGTAGCCAATGACCACTTTGCGTGGCGATTGCAGGGTTTTTATAGCCAACCACGGCTGTGAATTGCGATAGCTCAATGGCAAATTGGTAGTGTATGGTGGTTTCCGGTGGCAAGCCACATGCATTATGTTTTCAGCTGTGCCCCAATGCTATGTGTTGTGCCCTCTTTACACTCTAGTAGTCCGCATTATTCCTGAGTGTAATTTTTCCTCAACTCGCTGTCACTCGCTGTCAGGATGGAAACACTAACGATGCCAGTGCTTATCGACAGGTGAGAGAGTTGCTGGCACTTGACTTCCATTCGAATGAAGTTACAACCGCTGCATCATGCAATGTTGTTAGGATGCTGGCCATTGTATGAGCATTCTTTCATACACGTGTGTCCATTGTACACATACACATAGTACATACGCTCGTATAACGGAGGCGAAAGGCTGTGTAGCTGTAACTTCAAGTTTCACGCATTTCAGCGATCATCAGACACAAGCGGCATTTGGCATTCTTTGCTGAAGTCTCTTCGAGCTGCCTCGACCGGCCTTGTTTGTGTGTCCATTGTATGTATATTGCAGGCTTGTGTTGCGCCGGCAATATTGCCTTGCTATCAAGATCGCCGACTACCTGAAGATTCCTCCTCATGAAGGTGCCAGCCACATCCTTGGCCACTGGGCTTGCTACAAGGTATGTGTCCAACTGCACTTCCCTGAAAATCTTAGCATGATAGTTACCTCTACGTGGAGTGTCATTGGATACAGTTACAAGTACAGTTGAAAGTGGTGCTTGTTCGGGCTCTTCCTCGTGCCAGCAGTTTTGGAGGGGTTCATGTAACGTTATGTTTGGACAGTGAACGAGTCAACATGTGCACAGCAGATGTTGTAGCAAATTGTGCTTCTGTGTCCGTGAGCTTTTGTGTGATTGCCAGGAGATGCATGCACATGTTTGCTATGTACCTGTACCGGCTCTGGAGCAACACGTCCTACTCGTAGGTTGTTCAATCATGGTTGGATTGTGCAGCACACCCAAAGTTGGCTGAGCTACAACAGTTTGGACCTACAGTTACCATAATTTTATTTATTTTTTTATTATATGGCTGGATTGCTTGTTTGAAGCCAGCAACGTCAAGCAGTTGGGCATGGTGATCGGTAAATACTAAATAGTCGTCTCCACATTTCTTCTCCTTGTTGTCCAGGTCCAGCAGAGTGCTGTGGACGATGTTGAGGTGGCAAATACCATCGTCAGCAAGCTTGGTGACACTCCGGGTATTTCTTACACGGAAATTGCCACCAAGGCCAAGGACTGCGGCCGCACGGAGCTGGCTATTCGGGTAAGAATGGCTCGTGATTTGCCAAGATGTCCTGTCTGAGGTGTGCGAGTTTGTTCGCTGTGTTAACCTATCAATTCATGGTGACTAATTACGCAGTGGCGAGCCTTATTTAGTTGTCTACTTGGTCTTGCCTGTTCTCTATCTCTCTGTGTCGGTACATCTCTCTGTGTCGGTACATCTCTCTGTGTCGGTACATCTCTCTGTGTCGGTACATCTCTCTGTGTCGGTACATCTCTCTGTGTCGGTACATCTCTCTGTGTCGGTACATCTCTCTGTGTCGGTACATCTCTCTGTGTCGGTACATCTCGCTATTCCTCTTCTGCTTACGCTCACTGTTGTGCTTTTGTTGCTGTGCATGTTCAGCTTCTTGACTACGAACCTCGGTCCGCTGATCAAGTACCGTTGTTGATGAAGATGAAGTACGATGAACTCGCCCTGGAGAAAGCTATTGAAAGTGGTGACACTGATTTAGGTACGCTGTGCGTGTAGAATGTGCATGTCACCAAGCCAAGCCAAACTGTGTTTGGCTTGCGTTTTGATTCCATAGTCTGTATTAAAAAGCTTCTGCAAGTTTCCCCAGTATTAGGATTAGGATCCCTTGTGACATCCAGCTGAGATTGGATTGCCGTATCTCGGAACTCCGTTCAAGTGTCACGCTTGCTTACCCGCAGAGCGATTTTTAACTCGGGAATACCACACAGTACAGTCAAACACATCATACCACATGGCCCAGACCCTATCCGGTCGATAACCATTTTGGATAGGAGGGGTTGGGGTGTATATTAGGGGTGAAAGGGGTGATCCGGGTACCTGTGCACCCGTCTGTTTAGCTGCTGATCCGTTAGCAAACGAGTACCCGTTAGTCGTGTACGGCGGTATCTTATGGTATTAGTAGCTGGCTTGAACAGCCGTACAGTTCGATGTACAGTTTGAATGTGTTGTTGGTTGGTCAACCCTGCTTCATATGACAATTTAGACAATTTCGCATGTAGCGCGTGCGGCACTTGCCACAATGTAGTGTACTTGCTGTGAATTGCATGACTTCGCATGTCCTCTGGGCACGAAATGTAGAAGGCTATTGTATAGTAACTGTCACTATTGGCTGCTAAAGGGTACCCGATAACCTGCCCGTTAAGCCAGGTACCCGTTTGTAACCTTAAAGGGTAACCGTTTCACCTCTGTATATGCACTCCTCATGTACAGATATCAAGTTGTTCAGTAAAATACTGTAAATCAAGAATATTTCGTACGTTTTCACCTAAGCCCTTTTGTACACACAAATTGTTCGTATGTACGCACTGTCCCCCATATCTTCTGTGCATGCAGGTTGGTTTTGTATGTTTAGGTCTAGAACTAGTTGCCTTGGCTACTTTTCCGGGTTAGAGCCCTTTACTGCCTGTGATTGGTGTGGCTGAGATGGTCATGTTGTTTGCACTCTGCTTGTTGCCCTGCTTTGCGGACGAATGGTGTTTCTGATGTAGCTTTCCCTGCGTTGTCACTCTGCTTTCTCCTGTGCTGATGTGCTCCTGTGTAGTTTACACCGTGGTGATGCACCTTCGCGACAACCGAGAACTGGCGGACTTCCTCATGTTCATTCGGGGTTACGAGCCTGCCATGGCGCTGTTTGCGCAGGTATGTTTTCGTGCAGACTAAGGCATTTCCCATTCTTCTGGCCGGTTTGTATGGCACAATTCTTTGTCATACCTCACATCAGTCATAAATAGTGCAGGGTTGGCTGCGGACAACCACATTGCAGGACTGTTCGAAAGAACAGTGCTTCTCGTTTACTTCCGAATTATCAGCCAATGAGGAGCGTTCACTGACTTAGTTTGTGCCACGAGCACCCGGCATGGCGACTTTGGTATGGTTGTGTAGGGTGTTGAACAGTGCATGCCTGACCCCAGTGTGCTCACCTGCATTACTCATGCAGACCATATTTGCCAATGAGCAATGGCTTATCTAGGCAACTGTCTACGTATCAAACAGTGCATTGTTTCATTTTGTGATAGCGTTTTGAATACTTGCCTATCAGCATTGGGGGGGGGTTCTGGGCCTGGTTTTTGCTCAGCTTGGACCTCTACCACTGGATTACGATGGTTTGCCTGTTGCACCTTGGTTTGGCTTCAAAATCACATCTTGGCCTATTATTGCTTTTGTCATTTTCTGTAACCATTGCCGGTGCGCCGTTCTGTTTCCTTTTTGTCTACGTGGTGGTATGTGTTCTGTGACAGTATTGTCGTCAGCAAGATCGTCAGATGCTGATCGATCTGTACTATCAAGATGACCGCAGCGGTGACAGCGCTAACATTCATCTGCAAGATGCTCTGAGCACCAAGAATGTGAGTGCTCTGGTTGACCATGGCCTTGGTGATTTCATTCAATGTATTTGTACTTGAAGTACCTAACTGGATCCTCTCTCTCTCTCTCTCTCTCTCTCTCTCTCTCTCTCTCTCTCTCTCTCTCTCTCTCTCTCTCTCTCTCTCTCTCTCTCTCTCTCTCTCTCTCTCTCTCTCTCTCTCTCTCTCTCTCTCTCTCTCTCTCTCTCTCTCTCTCTCTCTCTCTCTCTCTCTCTCTCTCTCTCTCTCTCTCTCTCTCTCTCTCTCTCTCTCTCTCTCTCTCTCTCTCTCTCTCTCTCTCTCTCTCTCTCTCTCTCTCTCTCTCTCTCTCTCTCTCTCTCTCTCTCTCTCTCTCTCTCTCTCTCTCTCTCTCTCTCTCTCTCTCTCTCTCTCTCTCCTCTCTCTCTCTCTCCTCTCTCTCTCTCTCTCTCTCTCTCTCTCTCTCTCTCTCTCTCTCTCTCTCTCTCTCTCTCTTCTCTCTCTCTCTCTCTCTCTCTCTCTCTCTCTCTCTCTCTCTCTCTCTCTCTCTCTCTCTCTCTCTCTCTCTCTCTCTCTCTCTCTCTCTCTCTCTCTCTCTCTCTCTCTCTCTCTCTCTCTCCTCTCTCTCTCTCCTACACACACACACACACACACACACACACACACCACACACACACACACACACACACACACACACACACACACACACACACACACACACACACACACACACATACTCTCTCTCTCTCTCCCTCCCTCCTCCCTCACTGTCAACTCCTTTGCCAATGCAGCTATTTTCTACATGTCCCACTGGTGTTTGTGTTTTTCGCATTGTGACATGCTAGTTGAGTGACATCCTGGAGAAGCTAACACGGGCGCAGGTCATGTACACACAGGCACAGAACAAGTTTGCAGCCGAGGTGAGTTAGCACTGGCAGCCAGGGTTGTGTGGTGTTTGGTGCACCAGTGTCACCACTACTTGTGAGACTGTAGTCTTTGGTTTCTTCTCCTACTGATTCTGCACTGCACGAGGGTTTAGTTACCTTCACCGTTGCTATAAGGGATAGGATAGTGCTTTCAGACACAACTATCACACTTCCACACACTAGAGATAGTGTAGGCCTGCAGTGGGAGTCCAACATCAACTTTTGGCTTAAAGTTTTCTGCTGCTTGGAGTTAAACTCAAGCAATGAGAATCTTTCCTGACACTGAAGTTACTACTCCCCCCCCCCCCCCCCTTTCTCGCACTCGTGCATTTCACGTCTTATTTTGCTGTGCTCCGCTGCTACTGGGAGAGAATAGTTGGGTTGCGTACATGTGTCAAGAGCAGTTCTGAAGTTGACCTGCTCGTTTTTCTTCGTGTCATCATCCTAGGTCACCAACGAGCACATAAAGCTGGTACAGGCGCAGCAGGCTATGCAGGAGCGCACCAACAAGCCGTTCATTGGCCTCTCCGTCAGTGACACCATATTCAAGGTGAGAGGAGAGGTCTCCGCACTACGCAGTGCTATGTACATGTACACCGCTCACTCAATGAAATACAATCAAGGGAGTCAAGTACGCGCCGAGCGTTGCGCGGCCTTAGACCTGCGAAATGATGCAGGGTGCAAACTGGACTCATGTCATCGGATTTCATTGAGCAACACTGTACTTGGAAATGGTGCAGATTTGCAGAAATTGGATGCACTCCTGCATTGATACAGATGGAGAATTTGGTGATTTCTGCACTGCCAGGTTTGATGATGGGATTCTAATGATCTATTTTTCTGTATGCACGTGTGTGTGTGTGTGTGTGTGTGTGTGTGTGTGTGTGTGTGTGTGTGTGTGTGTGTGTGTGTGTGTGTGTGTGTGTGTGTGTGTGTGTGTGTGTGTTGCTACTACCATGCCTGTTCAGTGCCTGGTCTGTGATTTCCGCTCCACGATGGCAGAGCGTCTGAGGAAGGATTTCAAGGTGCCAGACAAACGGTAGGATTCACTTTGAAAGCTAGGCTGTACCGCTGAACCCAGTGGGTAGGGTGTGTGGATGGGGGGGGGGGGGAGAGGAGGGGGGGGGGCTGGGGTGGGTGGGGAGGGGGGGGGAGGAGGGGGATGGGAGTGGGTGGGGAGGAGGGGGAATGGGAGTGGGTGGGGAGGAGGGGGAATGGTAGTGGGTGGAGAGGAGGGGGGAAGGGAGTGGGTGGGGAGGAGGAGTGGGAATGGGTGGGGAGGAGGGGGGGGGGAGGGGGGGGGGGAGTGGATGGGGAGGGGGGGGGGGGGGTAGTTCACTACACTCTGACTGTGTGATATTGATTGTGGGAAAAGTTAGTTGTAGACTGAAGAACATGCAGCAGGGATGAATTTATCCTGTATCAAAACTGCGATGCAAAATCGATCTACTGCTACTCAAAAGTCACCGTGACTCGCAGAAAACTGTGATACATACAGACTATCCATGCCTAGCCTGTGCTGTTAAGTAACATGCATAATGTGCAATGTATTTGGTGCAGGCACTCTCAATCTGCGTGCACATGTATGATTCAGTCGTTTTTTTGCAAACGGGCTTTCAGGCATCACTCTCAAGAAGGACAATGTGGTAAACACCCAACTTTCAAAGAAAAATGATAATCAAAAATCAAAGACTGCTACACAATTGTGATTTTGTATAGCAGAAACTGCTATGCAAAATATGACAATATATTCATCAGCAAGAAGTAAAGCAAGGACAAGTTTCCAGAACTGTCAGCCAGGCAAGGAAGAAACTCATAATCGAGTAAACACCGCAAATTAGACACGTGTAAACGTGGCCTCAGTTCTCTCTGCCACTGATGTGTGTGTTATAAAGTACGCATGCAAGATTCAGTCCATGCAACTCGCGTATACCATAGCAGGAAATTCATACAAACCCTTGTGCGTAGCGATGACACAATAGCGCTTACTGTTGTCGCCGAGCGGTAGCTGAGCATATGCTTGGCTGAGATCTAATTTGGAAATACAGATCCATCAGAAAATTGCGATAACAAATAGTATAGTATTTATTCATATTTCTCTAGGGCAGTCCCCACAGACCTATGGTCTCCTTACGGGGTACCCTAGCCAATCTAGGATTGCGAAACGAAATTGACTTGGTGAAGCAGCAAGGCGGACCGATGCCGGAACTGAGTTCCAGCGGTCAGCGGCTAAATAAGAAAGAGAGGAATAACCAAATAGAGAGGAGGCTCGTGGCAGTACAAGTCCAAGCGAGACTTGAGACCTTGTGCAGGTGCGGCTACGTGCCTCAGAATTGGCACAAAGGCAGAAAAGGCGGCACAGAAGTGAGCTAGCAGAAGAATGAACGCATCTGAATGCAAGAAGATACAGTCTAAGGGAGAAACGGATAGTGATGGGTGTGAGGTTGTTTTGAGACAGAATACACTGGACATCTGCGGTGGGTGGGTAGCCAAATACAGTACGCAATGAACGGCGAGAGATGCGGGTGAGAGAATCATATTCATGTTGTCGCAGACTGTGTACATAAGCATTGCATATTCCAGTGTAGACTGGACAAAAGAGAGATAAAATATGAGTCTGGCTGCATTGGTCAACATGGTGCGGCAGCGCCGAAATGCTTTCACTTTTGCACTGACCTACTTTCGGAGTGCATCAACTCCTTGCTGACGGAATGTCAAGTGCTCATCAATAATGATGCCAAGATACTTAGCACAAGATGATTGTTCGACCACAGTGCCACAGAACCGCAACTGACAGGATGCCTGCACGGTGGGCTTCCGCAGAACAAGAAACTGAGTCTTTGCCGGGTTTAATTTGAGTTCCCTGGAGTAACAAATCACTCGGGTTGGGAATAGGATGCTGGTTAGCTTCAATGTGCTTTTTTAATAGACTCTTTAAAATCAGCACTTAAGCGAATGGTGTTGTTTTTCTTTTTCACAACCACCACGGGGGATGCCCACTCAACCTTAGAGACCGGCTTGATGATCCCCTCCCCCTCTAGACGCAACAACTCCGCTTCAACCTTAGCGCGGACGGCGGATGAAACAGGACGGGAACGGCAACTCTTGGGGGTGGGTGACCCTTGAAGCTGGATCTTGGCAGACTGACCCTTAATAGTACCCAAGCCCTCTTGAAACACGGTAGGGAACTGACGCAATAGATCATCTAGCGACAATGCATTGACTTCAGCATTACGAAAAATGGACCCGTCTATAATGACGTGGGGCATCCAGTTTCGACCAAACAGGGGCTGACCACTACCCTCTACAACAACGATGGTGTCTCGAAACTGTTGAGACTCGTAACGTACATCGACAAAGCATTCACCCTATACAGACAGGGAACTACCACCATGCGAATTCAGAGATGCACGAGACTTATTCAGACAAGCATTGGGAAACTGCTCCTTCCAAACAGAACTAGGAAATACTGAGACTTCAGCACCAGTGTCGACTTCCATCGGACAGACTACATCATTTATGCATACATCAATCATCATGGGAGGATGAGACTAAGATTGAGACTTATCTGTAGCTAACACATCGTCGGTGAGAGTACCAATGCTGAAGGAATCGAACAGTGGCTCTGGCTCAGATGAGATGTGTGAAGTCGACTGCGAATTGCAGCAGGAAGTGAAATGCCCACGACGCTGACATTCGCTGCAGGTTTTGCCACGCGCCGGGCAACTTGAATCACGACTGAAATGACCTGCCCTGCCCTGCCACACCTAAAACACGGACGCTCAGTAGAAGTGGAAGTAGAAACAGAAACAGAAGCAGACACACTCTCAGATTTACGTGCACGATCTGATTTACCTGACGATTTGAAATTTCTCTGCTGTTTCTTCGACACAGAGTGCTTACTAGAGAGGCCGTGTACTTCCGATGGCGTACTAGTAGCAGCAGAGGGACCCACAGAAGAGACTTGTTGCTGTGTTGCCTCAAACAAAGCTGCAATCTCGAGACATGTACCCAAAGTTAGTTTTGGATCAGACAGCAACTTCTTTTTCAGCTCAACATTCGAAATGCACAACACCACGTGGTCTCGGATCATGTCATCACACGCGGACCCAAAATCACACAAGCGGGCCTGGACGCGTAATCTCACAACAAACTTACTCACCGAATCGTTCTTCATAAAATTCATCTGGCGCAGCACGTGGCGCTCATATACCGGATGTGTGGCGCCGCCTTGAAGTGTTCGTTGAGTTTTCGTAACGCAACCTTGTACTCGTTGTCGTCGACAGCTGTCAGAGCCGCCGCCAGCGGATCGTCGAGGTCTTCAAATAAATCCTGAACCTGTGTTCCGGCAGTATGCAGCGAAAGGTTTTTCAACGGTTTGTGATCCGTAATTCCTTGGCGTTCAGCCATGTAAGTAAAACCTCGTAACCATTTACTCCATCGCAAGGACACCTCTGCCGGCGTGCCCCTGTATTCGAATAGTGGAAGCTTGTGGGCTCCGCTCAGGTTACTGCAACCGCTCATCTTCGTCGCCAATTGTTATAAGGTACGCATGCAAGATTCAGTCCATGCAACTCGCGTATGCCACAGCAGGAAACACCATCCGGTTTGTTCTAGGATAGTTATAGAAGTGAAGATGTAACGGGAAATCATGGAGAGATAAGCTGAAGAGACACGCCAGTGCTGTCGTGGCACTAATGGCGTTATAACACGACAGTATAGAACTCGTCAACCCGTACCCAACGTAAGACACACGTCAGCCATGCAGACGTAATGTAGAAGAAGACTGATTCACAATACAGTAAGACATCGTCACTCTTCGTCATGCATGCATCGAAGGAACGTAGAACGACACACGTAGTACTGTCGTGGACATGGAAATCCAGTCGATTGACCGGGGCCGGTGCCCTCAGCGCGTACAGAACAGCGCTTGATCCGATGCGACCAGCGGGCTGCAGCATGTGTGCACTGCTTACCCACGGCTGCATGGCCAGCGCCCTGGGGCCGCTAGCCGTGCGACCGGATTTCCATGTCCACGACAGTAGAACGTAGATCGTACGACAAATACGATAGTAGATCAATCTATAACAGTGTACACTGTTCTTGACTTGTGCAAGGTCTAGAGAACCAGGCTGTCTGTTGTCTACGTATTGTCGTTTTCTATGATATCAGATTCTGGTGGCTGAAGATCCGAGCATTGGCGGAGACCAGCCAGTGGCTGGAGCTGGAGAACTTCTCCAAAAGCAAGAAGTCCCCGATTGGCTACGAGGTAAGCCTTGCCAGCATTCACTAATGTGGGTAGAGTACACAAGGCAGATACATGTAAGTGAATGGCTCTGTGTGTGTCTGTGTGTGTGTGTGTGTGTGTGTGTGTGTGTGTGTGTGTGTGCGTGCGTGCATGCGTGTGTGTGTGAAAGAAGCAACTAGCCCAGAGCTTGATGTCTAGAGGGCTATAGGGCTTGAAAGTGATGACGTCAATAACGGCCAGGGAGTAGTAAGTTGACATCAGATTTCTATTTTGGATCCACTAAGGTGTGACTTTGCTATTGCCTCAGTGTGTGGGTGCATAGCAACCCACGCATGTCGTATGCAGGTGTGACTTTTTCTTCGCCACCAGTTGTCACCCCACCCCCCTTAGCCAACCCAGTCAATTTCACCGGTTACATCACCTTGCTGTGAGTAAGACCGCTTGAATTGTGCTTGGATCCATACAAAAACTGGAGCCAACTGGATCCAGTTTTTGAATTTTTGAAATTGTTGCTATGCTGTGACGTAGCACTTTCAAGCCCTATTGATGGCATTCCACTGCTAGTGTGCAGTAGAAATTCTCCTTGGTGTAGGAACATTCCCAGGGAGTGATTGAGATGAAAAAAAGGAAGGTTATTTTGTGCTGACACTACGCAACTATCTCCCAATGCCTCCTTCTGTGTGTTGCTCTACTGTGCTTGACTGTTGACTTTAGCCCTTCGTCGATGTCTGCCTTGACAATGGCAGCCGCAATGAGGCAATGAAATATGTGAAGAAAATGACCACGGAGCATCGGCCGCGGGCCTACATGCGTTGCAAGTGAGTGCTTATCAGCTGTTCACTCGTTTTCGTTTTACATTGCTGTGTATGTTGCTGCATTCAACTTTGACATGCACCAACCGTTATGGACTTCAGATTGTATTGTTTCGTGTTTTCACTGCATGCGCTCTCTTTGTTACTCTCAAATTCTCCATCGCCATTGTATGTATTGCATGAGTGATGTGCGTAGTGGGCACACTCACATGTACGAGCGTATTGTCGCCTCAACTGATGATCTGAAAAACCCCTTTCGTTTTGTTGTTGCTTGCAACACCTCGTTTCTCCGGCATGCACTGATGGCTTTTGTTTGCTTTCTGCACTGTACAGGGCATGGGACCTGGCAGCAGAGGATGCGTTTGCGAGTCGCAACGAGGAAGCTTTAGATCAGATCATAGCCAAGTCCGGCGCGGGCCACGGCCAGCTTCACGAACGCATTCACGAGATGAAGATGCAGCTACGGCAACGGTGAGCAGCGGCTGTGCAGCAACGCCGCCTGTATATTCATCTGGTGACTGCTATTGTTGTTAACTTGTCACTGCCTGACTTTCAGCCTCTCTCACAAACATACACCGGCAGTATGTGCTGGTCTTTCATCCTCAGCCTCTCTCACATGCACACAGACAGTATGTGCCTGTTTTTCAGCCTCTCTCTCTCTCTCTCTCTCATACACACACACACACACACACACACACACACACACACACACACACACACACACACACACACACACACACACACACACACACACACACATACACACACACAGAGCCAGCATGTGACCTTCCGCTGTCGCTGGTTTTGCCGGACTTGCGGAGCTGTGAACATGATCAGATATTCTGTTCGCATTTTCTTTGAATCATTGCACAAAAGGTGAAATTTGACGTAGGTAGCAAAAATTATCCACGGGTGCAATATGCCAGCTGGGTACCCCTCCCTCCATACACGATATTACTAGCATGCAAAGAAAGGTGAGCTGTGAGCCACTGAATAGTCCTCCATAAAATCCATACCCTGCACAACACACATGCTCCCAACTATATTCTTACTTTATGGTTTCTTGAGTATCTTTTCATTAACGATGTATCAATGTTTCTTTATCCTAAATCAACCGAATCCGATGCCTTCCCTTCCTAGCTATCCCCTTTCGTGACAACTGTCATTCCTGCCCTGATCTGTTTTGATTCGATCTTTCATTGCTTTTTGAAGATTTGGGATCGAAATTTTGACCACTTTTACAATGATTACGGCCAACAGCTACTATTTTCTTGCGAGCAGTACTTCCTGCTGCGTGTGCATGTACTTGGAAGTATGAGCACTGGATCCAACTTCCGTTCTTCCTCAACTTCAGCAGTGTAGTGGCATTGTGGTCATACATGACGATGATGACGTAAAACAATGGGAGCAGCACTGCCTACAGGAATGCAATGTACCCTGCATAGGGGCACATGGTTCTGACTACTGTAATTTCACAAATTTTCGGCACTTTCGGTGCATCTGTTTCTTACCTAAAGTTTCAAAACACCGAACAAACACTAACACACATAATCCAATAGGGAACTGCTTCTCTGTACCGAAAATTTCTGTTCACCTAACCTGGCCTTTTGCCCTCATACCGAAAATATTGAGCACCGAAATTGTCTGAAATTAGAGTAGTTGAGCCACATTGTAGATCTACAGTGGCGCTTTTCATTTTGAAAGGGCTAGCCGAGGTTTGAGGGGCCTCGGGTGCAAGGCGACACTGTGTTCCTTTGGCTGCAGCCCTGGTAATCACGCCGTGTAGAACAGTTACATGAGCATGCATACTACTGTACTGAAGTACAATGTATTTACATGTAGCTCCATCGTGACCAGCCGTAAATAATGATGGGGAGTAATCATGGTAATCGGGAGATTAAGAACACCGCGTACCGGTACTAAGTATTCCATGTGCATGTCCAATGTGCTTATAAATATTAATTAGTTATAATGTCGATCCACGTGATGGCATTGTAGGCTTTCTAGCTATCAAGAATCATGTTATTGTTGCCAGCCATGTAGCAGGCTGTGTGCCTGGTCAGAAGACGATGTAGCATCGACATCAGTGTATACCGACCGTGAGCATCGAGAGTGCCCATAATCATTATCTGATGATGCATGCATCATGCATGCATACATCGGCCTACATGATGTGCCGGTCGCGCTGAGGGCGCCGGGCAGAAAGCCCAAGGGGCCAAAGGCCAATGCCTCCCCTGCCCTGTGACTACACCGGTCGGCGGTCAGCATTCATGAATGCCTGCAGGCTAGGACGGAAGTCTTCTGACTTCCTGAGGGCTTGAGGGGGACGTGTGCAGTTGCGACTGTACAGGTGATACCCGCGTCCACACAATCATGTAAAGCTGTGTTTGTGGTGTGGGGGTAGATACCGGGTCCGTGTTTGTGGTGTTTGCGTTGAAGTCTGCGGACCGATCATGGTTATGCGATTTATTATGCGGAAACAGTGCGTCTGCTGAGGACTGCGTTGAAGCCACACAGTAAGCCGCTACAAATCTTGTTGCAATGCTGGTGCATCCTCCCTATGATACCCTCCAATGCAATGGTTGATCTACAGTCTGCAGGCACGACTCACTGGACCTCAGAGTTTCAGCGCTAAACACCCAATCGTCCTTTCGACAGCGGTATCATCGCTAAGCGGCTTCGTTGCCTGACGATCAGTTCAGCCATGAAAGTCTGCAGCTACACTACAGCCTTGTTAGCATACTGTGTACATTTGTGCTCGAAGCTCTGCCCCCGGGCTTACCGGTATGCCAAATACACGAGCAGGAGCAGACTCTCAACCTCTCAGTTCTTTCACAAGTTTCAGCCGGTACACAAGAAGCTTGGACAGTTGACGATTGCAGTGGTTCTGCCAGAAGCCCGGACAACACGCCCAGACCCTAGGATCGTCTCCTTCGAGTGGCCCTGCGAAGCTGCACTGCCTGCAAGACAGAGTTCCTTTCTTCCGTCGTTCATGCCCAGGCTACTTACAAGATGAAGATGATGGCGGAGTTGCTGTGCCTCATTGCTATGTTAGCAGCCTGCCAGTTTGCTGTTCCGGGTGCCGGAGACGACATTTTCAACCTCTGCCCGCTTGGTAAGTAAAGTCATTCACGCTTCACTCACAGATGCTCCGGCCTACAGGGATTTCCACCGGAAGAGTAACAGTGGAACACCCGTTCCCAAAACACGACCGCAACTTTATAGCGTCTTGTCATTTTGTTTTCTTTCTCTTCGGGGTGACTTGAAGTTGTCAGGGCGGTCCACTAGTGCTGGTCGTATACCGGTGCTGTGGCTCCAACAGTCCAAGACATCCACATCATCGCCACTAGCATCATCTTTTTGTCTTGGTTGAGGTGAAATGAGCATCAGCGACGATCAGTTTCTCGGGGGCATGGGGTCTTCGAGGCGTGCCGTCGTTACCTATCCGGTCTACCGTAGATGTACAATTATGTGCTGCCCCCGACGCCCCCCGCGCCCGGGAGCAGATTAGATTGCCAGAGCCAGACAGACAGGCGCTAGGCTTGGAGAAACTCTTGTAGAGGAGACGGCTCGATACCGGGACGTTTTGACAGCCAAATTTGTATAGACCCAAACCGATCATCAGCGTTGATTTTTCACTCGAAATATGTTTGTGGAAGGAAACTGGCATGTTGAAGTTTGCTCTGGGGCCAGAGTCAATCGAACTGAGCCACTCCTTTGTGTTGACCCATTGCCTCCAAGTTGCCCAATTTTTCGCTTCAAAAAAGTTCAAATCAGAGGTGGCTCCAAACCGGACACGTTTTAGAGTGCCCGTCAAATTCACTCTGGGTCTGAAATTAGGTAATTGCTATCGCTCCACGACGGCCAGTACAGAGTAACAATAAGCCTTGTGTGTGCTTCCATTAGTTTTGATTGGTATGCGGTGCTTTATTGGCGAGAGGCGAGCCGCTGTTTACCTGCGACAAGAAGTTGATTTTTCGAAAGTCGTAAAACTCAAGTCGCAGTGCGAAGCAACACGTCAAAAACTCACCTGCTTGATATGGCGCTTCTGGTCATCGCAGAGCCATGAAATTTTGGCTCGGAGTATAACACATCGTAGTCTCACTGTGACATATGTTTTCTAATCAAAATACCAAGACAGAAAGTGAATATTGAGTCCGTTCCGGTTTGCAACCGGTGTCCTATTTGAAACCGTCCCCTCTACCACTACCAGTAGACCAGGTAGACCGGGTCCGTGGCGGACTCTGCAGAAGTTCTGATCCTGCCGCAGGGCCAGGTTTTTTTAGGCTAAGCTTTTAGCATGACTAGTGTAGATCTGCAATAGTGCAAGGAAGGAATCACAGGCTACAGCCTCAGTCAGGTGCGACTTCGAGTTCGAGCAGCGAACTGACACGCTGTGACACTCAGTGTGGTGCGACTGGTGGAACCAGCACAGGCTTGCTTTGCAGCCCCTACTCTCCCTGCTGTTTTGTCATTGTATACTCTGTTGTCTTCTCCCCTTCTGACGAGTAGGTTGTGTACTTAGTAAAAAAAAAAAAAAAAAAAAAAAAAAAAACCGAAAAGTGACAGAAACAGCGCTCGGAGGCATCAGATCAGAATCATTCAGATTCTACCGAAGCTGATCAGCGCAGATGTCGTTGTCTTCGTATTCGTAGACCTACGAGGCTACAGGCTAGTGCTGTAGCGCTACAGCACCACGGCACGGTCCGGGCGAGGAAACTAACTTGGACTGACGGTATAGATGCATTCGAATCGTTATCTCCAGTTCTACTTGGCTTGTTCTGTGACTTGAGAAACGCTACAGGCCACTACTAGTATTCGTGAAAAAGATTTCGAGACTGGCCACATTGTAATAGTTAGAATTACATGTATTTGATCGCTATTCCTTGCGAATGCGGAGTTGCTTTTTCTCGGAAGGCGGCATAAGCAGTCACAAGTGTCAACAGAATCGTGTAGTATAGCCCGGGCATTCCCTCCGGCTCCGTGATGAGCTTGCCGATGAATGCTGAACGGAAGTCGTCAACTGGAGCCGTGGGAGCTCCTTTCGGGCCAGGCGGACATTTCCGTGAAGAAGTCAATTTTGTAGCTGCTCACGAGCACATCCCTGGACAGGAGGTAAGCCGCCGAGGACAAACTGCGCAGGCAGACGGTAGATCTACTAGTGAACAAAACACATTTCAACGACGTAGAAACATTTGCGTGTTGTCAGAATGCTTGGCGGGGCTTGCCTAGCTAGGCCAGGGTGTTTCACTCTGTGACGGCGTGCTGTGTGCTGGACAAGTAACTTCCAGACTGCGGTCATTCCCGGAGCAGTCCGATTGCAATCCAGTAAAATGTTGGGCAGTTGAGTTGGCGTTCTGTGCCAGTGCCCAGCCCAGCGCTGTACTGTAGGAGTAGCATGACTGTGCCGTTAATGCGTTATCAGGTTATCATGGTCATCCTAATGTTTTGAAAGGACCATTGCAAGCCATGCATATACACTTCTGTGTTCTAGTCGTTTCTTCGTTCTCCCTGCATGCAACTTTGTTATCTTTCTTGTTCTTATTTTTGTCTCGACCCGGGTTTGTGTTCTTTGTAGAAAACAAAACAAAACACATAGCTGCCAATCATCCCGATCTGGCCGGGACCGTCCCGATATCGAGGGTGGTAATAGGCACCCAAAAGTGCATTAATTGTGGCATGCCTCACAGCTACATTTCTACATGTTCATACCTTGGTACATGACACATACATGATGTCATTGTCCCGATCTCAGATCTCAGGTTTTCACCGGTTGGCAGGTATGTATAATGTGTTGTAACAACCGCGAAGTTTATTCCAGCACTGCGTTGCTAGATACTCGTACCCACCCGGCTCAGAGTAGTGTTTGCCGCTGTACTGTGATACAAGTAGTAGTGTTTGCTGTACTGTACCATGACATAATGCTATGTAGGGCAGTTCAATGACACCAGAAACAGTACCAGTGGAGAGTGCGCTCCATGTCCCATCAACTGTGAAGATGCTGGAGGTTACAATGGCACCTGCCGCATCCTGGATGACGGACGTAAGTGGTGACTTTTGGGATTCTGAGACCAGTCCCTAATGTAACATGTCATTGCATACCTGCCAAGTATCCAGATTTTTTCGGGATTATCCCGCAATTTTGGATGAACTCCCGCGATCCCGAAATTCCTGTCGATTATCCCAAAATTCACTGTACAAGAAACAAGCTTGATATTGTACTTGGAGCACTTCAAATAACTTGTCACAGGCCAGTAATTGTCCTTATTGATCCCGGACCGCCATAGTGCACTACCAGTGGATCTCCTAGTGCTCCTTCCATGAGCAATCTCTGAAAAACCTCCGTTTTTGAGTCTTGAACATGTGTAAGTGTGATCCGATGATCACCATCAATCATCTATTATCGAAATGTTGGTGCCATCAAAAGTTGAAAAAGGATTTTTTGGTAAAAATGACATATCCCGAAAAACCAAGGCAAATCCCGGGATTTTGCCATGGCGATCCAGAAAAAAGCACTCTCAGTACTTGGCAGGTATGTCATTGGTCCAATGAAGCTGTTGTATCTTGATGGTTTGTGGACTTTATTTTCAGTCTGGTTAAGGTAGCAGCCTACCCAAAATTCCCTGAAAATCGAATTTGTAAATTCATATCGAGTCCTACATCAGTTGAAAGAGCATGAATAGCTGCAAAATCTCTGAAAATTTTGTCTCGATCTGACCAGCTGTTCAAGAGTTATGGCCGAAAATGTGCCCTTGCAAGGAAAGATTTTTTGTTGCACGCTGTCATTTTTGGCAGCACTGTACTTGAATCTGAGCAGACAGTGTGCAACTTGTCGTATCATGGAAAAACGCGAAAGTGTGCAGAATTTTGCTCCCCAAAAATCACGTTTTTTAGCCATGTATTGGGCTGCACGGCGGCGGGCTTTGCCCGCCGCCGTGCAGCAGGACTTTTGCCAGCACCCTCGTGACGTTGCAGATATGTGGCTTGATTATTGTAGTTGACGTTGATTTAGTGACTTTGGCAAGTTTGAGTCGTGTCAAGAAGTCAGGTAGGATTCAGTACTAGGCAGTAGTGGAACGTGAGTGGTAGTCTTTGCCGATTTTTGAGGGTATCCTGGATTTGGTGTGCAGCGCTGTGGAAATGGCTTGCCGTGGAGGTCCCAGCACTGGATGTTGTATCAAAGGTACGACCTCGTAGCACACCCTAAACCTAAAAAAATTCAAAAATTGACTTCGGTCTATGGGAGTCTGTGAGAGAACGCCCACTCGTGCCGTTGTGACAGAGATTCCAGGGCCATGTTGAGGGGCCCTATTCCACCACCCATGGCTGCTTCTGGACTTTTTTAGGTTTGGATCCCGCGCACGGACAGAATGGGCAAGAAAATGTGAAAAAATGTAAATGCATTTTTTTGGCTCGCACACCGTGGCACTATGCCGGAATTTTGAGTTTTTCCGGCCTGGAAAGCCTGTCAGTGAGGTGCAATAACTTTAAAATCATGTCCAGAGGGCCAGCATAGTGGCAGGAGTGTGTGGTGAAAATTTCACTCAAATCCATTGAGAGACATCAAAGTTACGGTCAATTGAATGCCATATGAAATTTATGGGTAGGCTGCTACCTTAAAGGGGAAGTCCGGTGAAAATTTAAATTTCACAGTCCGTAGAGTTTGGGGCGCTGAGTCGAATGGTCTTTGTCCGAGGAGGCTGCGGCCTATGGTTCGTCAGATACGCCCAATCGAACATGTGCGAATTTGAGCGCGCCTCACCCAGATCCAGGTGATGACGTCACAGCGTGCAGCCAGGTAGCCACACGATCTAGATGTGTACAAAACGGCCATATTCGGAGCGCGTTCGATTGGGGAACCGTTTGCCACAGCTTCTTCGGACCAAGACCATTCGATTCAGTGTTACAAACACTACGTACCGTGTGATTTTCAGCTCGGTAAACCTCGAGGTTATACCGTATTTTAGCCATTTCCGAGTTGGACTTTTCCCGCCGGCATGCACTGGCCTCTACGGCTCTAGCAATGCGCTGCGTGCATGCTAGCTGTAGTGTAGTGACTACTACTGTAGTCAACAAACTCATCACATCACACACGCAACTACTCCCGCACTGCCGTGCTGGGGTAGCTACAACAAGACTCAGAAAACTACTCAACACACGGAGTTGTCATGTACTACACTCATATAATATCAGTCGTATTGTACAGTCATGTAGTCAGAGAACGAGCGTTTCTCCTTGCCGGTGCCGGTGCACCGGTGGTTGTGCTTTTAGAAAGAAAATTTTGTTTTCCGCTCCCGCCTCATTATTTTATGCTACAGCGATGAGTGCACAACCGTGACAAGTGACAAAACAGCGAACAGCTCCCGGACCTAGAACTTTCAGATCCCGTAGCGTTGCGAGCGAAGAGTCGTGCCCGTGGTTCAAAGAGCCTGGTTCTCCAATTGAGTAGTCCGAAATATGCCAAGTTCGCACCAAAACATCACCATGTGGCAGGCTACTGGAGTCTAAGCGAATCGGTATGGAACAACATTTAGAGCACTCGCATCACTCTTCTCCATTTTGGTAACTCTGCTCTCCAGCGATCTGATAATTATATCAGTTTCGTCTGCAATAGCTGCTGCTTCTTCATCAGTCGGAAACTCAGTAGCGCTCACTCTTGACCGGCCCACGCAGCCATTTCTTCAGCTGAATACCGAGGTTCTCAGCCCCAGACCGAACTCATGAAGGTCAGCCATGGCTGCATCCTCACTCTCACAAGGAGTTACGTCTTCGGAGTCGCTTGCACCACCTTTTATGTGTCGCCAAATCATTTGAAATAGCATTGACACTATTGCTTTCACGCACTCCTTTTGATTAGCTGCACGCTATGACGTTGCGGAGGGTGTGGCGCGGCCACATGACGTCATGGCGCAGCCCCCGAAACTCAGTTTTTCAAACGGAAATATCTCGAGAACGCTTTGTCGGAGACACGTGGGACCAACACCATTCGACTCAGCGACCGAAACTCTACCGACCCTGACATTTAAATTTTTCACCGGACTTCCCCTTTAAGGTTAACGTAGCTAGAGTGTATGCTACTATGGTAATACTATTGTAAGTCAATCCTTATCAACGATAGTGTGGAGTATTCTGCAAGCTGTCGTTTCCAAGATATGTCGGTGTGTATCGCTTACTTAGCTTCATGATCTGCATGCCTCGTGTCGACAACACATTCCATTCAGCACACCATTCGGGATTGTGTTGCTTCATCTGTTCTCTCCAGGCTTCAAATGCTCGGCTCGCAGTGGTGTGGTGTTTGAGGTAGGTTAGTACCTGTCAAGTGAACCATACAGGTCACACTGTGGCAAACATTAGCGTTGATGAAGAACGTCTTACCTTGGATTAGTCTGTCGAGCACACGCAACAACACCGTAAACACAAATGGTGACAATCATGCTCAGTCACGACCGTTACCCTGTATTCTTTGTCCCAGGTTCAGCTCCAGGTGGTGATAGTCAATTTTTTCTTCACCGATCTCTTCCCTTTTCAAGTTTTCAGTCCCTCAGCCTTGTGAGTGCCTGGTGCATTGGGGCTCCCTGCGTACTAGTTTGTGTGTAAAGTGTGTGGGTACGGTGAGGGCTGTGTCCCACCAGCCTGTGTAGTGTCACAGGAAGTGTGAGTTTCGAAGTCTGAAGAACGTTGGTGAAGAGTAGCTGCTTGGATGACAGCTAGACCATAGCTGAGTGGCTAAAGCATTGCTGGCCTATAGCTCAGTGGCTAAAGCATTGCTGGCCTATAGCGAAGGTCCCTGGTTCGAGTCCTGGGTGACATTCAGTTTTTCTTCCGACTTTTTCTTCTTCTTCAGCCCCTCGGACATCATCTGGATATTTTCTTCATTGAAGTGTTTTCAGCAAATCATGACATTGCTATGGATAGCTGCCAAACAACTTAGTGCCAAGAGTCTATAATGACCAGGTTGGCCTATCCACTGAGGATCTCCACTGGCAGGGGTAAACACCAAGAAATAGGACAGAGGATGAAAGAATAGTTTTTGAAGTCGGGTGTAGCCAGTTCACAGTTGACGACAATGCTTGTATGTCCCAAATTATGCCTTCCAACTCTTGTCCTTGGTGACACCAGGAATCAGCATTTTTTGTCTGTTTCAATTACATGAGGATAGCCTTGGGCATGTCTGTGTCCTACTTTTGAAAACTGCATGCATTCCATAGTCACCGTTAATCTTTCTCCCGCCGCCACATGAAGGACAGATGCCAGTTCAACCAAATTTTGGGAAGATGGTTATCTTAGTCACGGGTTACACCTCTGAAAGTTTCAAAGTTATTATTTTTCTGTGTTTTTAGCTTCTTCTTTGTGCGAGTTTCGTATCAGACTGTATGTAGAGGCTACACTACAGCCGGTGGTAACGCGGATGTGTAACCGTGTGAGCATGAAAAAAAATGAAAGTTTCAAAGTCATAAGTGAAAGCATGTGTGATAGCCGAGTGTGTTCCCAAGCGGGAACGTTGGCGGCCTGAGTTAATGAATTATCCAAAATTGGATACAAATCACATTATACCCAAGATTGGTACAACATAATCAACTCTTATGTACAAAACTAGCTAAGATATATTCAAACTCAGTTCATCGTCGAGAGGTGGCCTGAATTCTTGAAGTATTCAGGATTCCAACTTCCAGGCAGGTGGTTTCATCCACACCTGGGATACTTTGAAGTCACAGTACATAACATGACACATTGCCCCCGATGATAGTGCAGATGGACATTGCACTTTCCGCACATGTAGCGACAATTCCTTTTTGCAGAACTTGCATATGCCCTGAGTTGCCAGCACCTATTCATGATCTTCGCCATATTGGCTTCAACGCCTCCACGAATGAACATCTTTGTGCTGTGACGTCCAAAATAGGGCACCATGGATTCATCGATTGATAGGTTGGGATGAAAAACTCCAAACACTTTGCAAGTGTTGTAGTGATGGAGTTGTAGGGTGGAACTACTTTCACAACTGTGTTGCCTTCTTCCACATGTTGGTTGTCAGCAAAGTGGGTATGACGCTGTACAGACCGGTATGTTGCTCGGCTCATTGCAGTGAGTGCGTTCGATTACACACTTGAATCGATTCATGAATCCATTCGCATGCATTCAAGTCGTTCGATTTCATGTCATGAGCCCTGGAATCGATTCGGAATCCATTCACTCTATTCACATGGGGTGATGTGAATAGCGCGAATCGATTCATGAATCGATTCGTGAATCGATTCGCGTGCATAATCGAACGCACTCACTGTAAACAACCGCGGCACGCCCAGATCTTCACAGTTAGACCAGTAGTGATCCTCTTCAGGAAGACGGCGGTAGCTCGAGAGCAGAAGAACACTGAGGAATGAGGAAACTTCATGAGCAGTTGCGTTATGTACAATTGAAAACTGCATCCATTCCATACTCGCCCTTTTAAAAGAATGATCCGCCCGTATACACAATCAAATAATTTGGTACGGGGTCTTTCAACCCATTGTTCACTGTGCAACACAGGCCTCAGAGCAAGTTGGACAAGCTAACATTACCAGTGCTGGACCCTTTCTACGTGGTCAGGGAACCACGGTCTTGGATAAAGATATCGAGCCGCATCCCACTCTTGCAGTAAGTTGGAATTACGTGTAGCGAGCCCTCTTAGGAAATGTACCGGGGAGAGAGAGAGGGGGAGGGGGCAGGTTTTGGTGGGTTTCAGGCCAATTTCTGCTCTGGAAATGTCTTGAAAGGGCCGTTCAATGTTACCAATTGTTCTTACTTCTTCGTCAAGTTTGAATTGAAAGGTAAAACGGTTACACCGTGATCATGCCTGTGCAGTACAACTATTCACAATGCAGCATACCCTGGAGACAGAATAGGCTTTTTGCATTAGGTATCAGTCCTCTCATTTTTAGTGCACTGAGATCCGATATTGCGTTTGCTTCAAATCAACTCTAATTCTAAAATAGCATCCAAATACTTATTAGTTGTCGGTTGGTTTACAGACGTCCCCTCCTCCCTCCCCCCCCCCCCCCATAATGGCGAGGCATGTGTTTCCTGCATCGGGTCTTTCTTCTCGTTTCCATCCCTTTCATCATCTACTATGTTTTCCACTGCTCCAATAGAGTATGATAGTTATGCCGCTCAGCACAGGGCAGACATGGCGTATGGCTACATGTATGCAAATATTTGCATGTGTCCGTGCATTTTTCTTCCGTCCCTTTTTCTCCAGAACTTCACAATTCGTTTTGCTGATTATGGCTTTGTGAAACGTATGGATCGACTTGAGTTCAATTACAGCAGTAATAGAGTAGCCAATATCACAGCCATGTTGTCGGAAAATGGACGTGGTACGTTTGGTATTGAGGGGCACTTATTGTGTATAATTTTTAAACTTATATTTTTGGTTTACATTCTAGGGCACATGCGAACACTGGACTGTGCGTTTCATCAAATTTTCGGACGCACCCAATCATCAGGTCGTGAACTAAAGCATTGAATGGCAAAAAATACAGAACATAACTGCCTATGGAAGTAAGTCGCCATTGTCTTGGCCTGAGTGTACAATGGAAGTGTACAGGCAGAAGAAGAAGAAAAAATGACGAGGAAGGCCAGTTGTGTGTCTTGAATATTATGTTGGCACACGGACATGAGAAAAATGGGTGATGTGTGTTTCAGGCTGTCGCCTGCTGAATCCTGTGTTCATTGTGGGTCCGGGAGTTTGGCTGGTATGATTATTCTGCAGCACTAGGACTGAGGTTGCCCATTGAGTTGCACAATACATGCAGTTCACTTTCCTTTGGTAAAAGTGGGCTATAATCAGAATCATACCGTCCGTTCAAGTGTTTTGCAAATCCTTCTTGAAAAAGGTGTTGTGTAGAAAGGGACCGCACAGGAGTTTCTGTCAGTAAAGAGTATGGAGTACGAGTTATTGTGTCCGGGCATTTCTTGATGGCTAGACAGTCGACATGTAGATTTTCTGCACCGGAGATCTCCATGACTGTGACCTGTGTGTCTCCACTGCTTGCACAGCGCTGACGTTGGTTCCACATCCACCTGCTGCACGTCCTCCGGTGCAGAGCTTTGGTGATGTGAGTACAGTCATGTATCTATACAGATGTACAGATGTAGGCCGGGTACAGGTATGGATAAGGACACTCTAGGAAGAATGGGCTGGAGAGGCAGGCTAATGACAGGCCAGTATGTTACAGAAAAGAATTTCACGGTTCACGTGAGACTCGGCTCCAGCCAAGTCACCGCAAAGTGGTCAAAGACCAAACATCCCATTCACTGCATCACTGTATTACAGAAAGGAATTCAGTTATACCTTGCACCGTGCACTGAGGATCAAGGAGCTACAAGTTACGCTATAATGTCCATGAGCTGATTGTTTAGTATCTGCTGATAGTGTTGCTGGAAATTATAGCGTAACTTGTAGTTCCTTGGTCCTCTTTTCTATGAAACATTTGAGCACATCCTTTTTATTATCATTAAAATCATTTCTGACCGCTTTTGCAACCCTCTTCTCAAGCTTGTGTCTTTTGTGCTCCCCTGTCAACAAACCAGTTAGCTCATGTCTTTATGTACCGGAATGCAGGCCCTCGCATTGGTGAGAGTCCTGGACTTCAGACGGGAGCCGAGGAGCGAGCGTTGGTAAGCGAGCGATCCTTTTCCACATCTCTCTACTCCCTCTCATGATGCACGTGTGGATCAGCAGTTGCGCTAGAAGATCATAGAGCAAGTTTGTGAGTCAGTTGAGCCCTGATTGGACCTCTTTGTCGGAAAGCAGGGATGAATTTATCCTGTATCGCATCGCAGTTTGCTACGCAAAATCGATCTACTGCTACTCAAATCACAGTGACACGCAGAAAGCTGCGATACATGCATGTACAGGCGATCCATGCTTTTTGTAGCTTGCGCCACAAATTAGATTTTGCATAGCAAAAACTGCTATGCAAAAACGTGACAGTAAATTCATCCCTGGAAAGGGACTGGTCCTCGATTACTTTCTTTGAGCTACAACTGGAGGCCAACTACAAGATCATTTGACTTCTGGTTTGGTTTCCAAGATGCCCCTGTTGGCCGTGTGCGGCTCCAAATTCCATCCTTTGTTTGCTTGCTCTTGTTGTTGCTATCAGTTTCAATGTGACGGCACACGACGGCGTCCATCCGAGTAGCGTTGGTTATGTGTGTGTAACGACATTGTACGTGGACGACAACATTCCCCGTCTTTCGTGCCAGTCACGAATGGCCGTAAGTGCAAGCAGTCCATGACAAGTGCATGATGATGCATCCAATGCTATACCATTCGGCATGTACGAATACGTTGCACTGAGTGATGCACATTGCCGGGTGTAGTTCCGTGCCATGTCGGGCTTCAGTACTCTAGTGATCAGATGCTGTGCTGTGCTATGCTGCTCTACAACACCAGCTCGCTTGTCATTAATAGGCTATTCAGACTACGGCCAACTGTGACCACGCTTCTACGACTCTGACATGTTTGATCAGGGATTGTGCATACAATTTTGAAACATGACTGCATCACCATGGAAATTCAAGTTCACACGTGATTTTGGCCGTAGTCTGAATTGCCTGTCATGATCTAGGTGCATTCCTGAAGTGGAAAGTCACGAAAACTCTGCCGATAGATTGATTGACATTAATTTTGTTAATGTTCTTCCCATGTCGGTCTGCTTCCTCCCAGCGTTTGATGGATGTCGACGCACTTCAGACAGAGTTTGCGCCGCTTATCGACTGTACGCTCACAGACGATGACGTCAGCGTTGGGCAGACTGTGTCAGGTTTGACTGTAAGCAATGTGGCTATTAGTGCCGAGTTGGGTAGCAATTTCTTCGGGTATCGGATTTGGGTAGTTTTCCACGGGTAGCACAGGTACCCGATCGGGTAATGTTTCCATGGTAACACCACAACGCACCCCTTCCCATACACACTGGGTAGATATGCGGAGTATTACATGAATTATTACATGAATTTTATTTACACCATTCAATACTATGATTATACATGACGGTGTAATCCAATAGGCAATACATTATGCGCCATTATTCCCAACCACGATATCAGACAAGCTCGAAGTTTGCCAACGAAAATCATTAAAAATGCTTTTTTGCTTGCCCCGTGATTTCTCCTCTGCACAACTCTATGTTCTCGCTCGTGTTTGCCCCCTTTCTATTCGACGCAGTCTCCACAGCAATATGCTAATTCAAAAGATAAAACTCGAGAAAGTACCAAGGCATCTCTTTCCCTATGACTGGTTTGTGCGGAGTCGTTCAACAAGGGCACAAGTCTCGCTACCAGTTTACAAAATCCCCTTTGTTTCATTCCTATTCTAACTGGCTCAAGCTATCAAGCCTCGCCCACCACTGCCACAGCATGTCTCAGTTTTGCCAAGTTGTCTGTACTGAGTTGCGTTTTCCTGCAGCACTCACGCGTGTTAAGCTAAACAATGTAATTTCCGGCTATCTCACTTAATTGGCTGAGCTTTGTTTTCCTCCCTGTTCCTTTCTTGGCTGAGCTTTGTTTTCCTCCCTGTTCCTTTCTTGGCTGAGCTTTGTTTCCTCCCTGTTCCTTTCTTTCCACTGTTTTCTTGTTTTCTTTTGTACTTTTACCATGGCTGGTTATCGCCCTCATCTCTGGGGTTGCTCCCCACATTAGCAATGCGTGCACATGCTACGAGATTGAGTTTAATAATAATAATAATAATAATAATTAAAAAGCTTACGTGGAGATAAAAATGTAATCAACGCAATAAATAGAGTAAGCTGCGCACTCAGTACAACACTCAGTCAGTTAGGGTCTAAATTATTACTTGCATTGTGCGTATATATATTGAGTTTAGAGCTAATGTTGATTTGCCAGTAATCCTCTGATGAGATGGCGACGAAAACGTTTAGGAACAAGCTTCTTCATTTACATGAAAACAAGTTTTGCTAATGGTGTTTGTACTGAGTGCGCAGCTTACTCTATTTATTGCGTTGAATGATAATAATAATAATAATAATAATAATAATGTTGAACGGCCTCTGCTGGGATGACGACTACACCATAGCTCAGTGGTTAGAGCATCGCTGGCTACAAGCGAGGGTCCCTGGTTCGAGTCCTGGTGGTGACAGTCAATTTTTTCTTCAGACTTTTCCCGTTTGTCTCTTTCCCTCAAACCAGTCAATCTTTTATGACTTGGGGCTCCCCGCGTACTAGTTTGTACGTGAAGTGTGTGGGTTACAGTGAGGGCTGCGTCCCACCCGCCTGTGTGGATTCACAGGAAGTGTGAGTTACGAAGTCTGAAGAAAATGTTGAACGGCCTCTGCTGGGATGACGACTACACCATAGCTCAGTGGTTAGAGCATCGCTGGCTACAAGCGAGGGTCCCTGGTTCGAGTCCTGGTGGTGACAGTCAATTTTTTCTTCAGACTTTTCCCGTTTGTCTCTTTCCCTCAAACCAGTCAAAATAATAATAATAATAATAATAATAATAATAATTCCGGCTGTGGGTACAAGGAATAATCAAGGGCAGGTTTCTGACTTGGGAACTACCAGAATAAGTTTAAAACACCGATGGAAATAAAATGGAAAGGAAAAGGTAATGACTAGTAAGGACGAGGAATGCTAGGGAGCAATGCTCAACCTATTCTTTACTCAAGGGATCGCCTGTTCTTATTCAAGAAGCAAAGCATATCGACATATTCCCGTGACAAGCTGGCTCGCTCCTTGTTGCCGATTATTCCCGCTGCAATGAATAGACGGTCGAATGGTGTGCTGGTGGCTGGAATACATAGCAGTATTTTCGCCACGGTGCTCAGGCGAGGAAAGCGCTTCTCATTGTGCTTCCACCATTAGAGCGGGTTTTCGGTTTCACTGGCTACCGGCTCTGCTTGGTAGCGAGTAATCTCGTCACTGTTGTTCCTCGCTGGCGTTGGTGATGTCCCTGATGTGTTTTCTGGTCCCACCAGGAAGGACATGGCACTGATGTCAGACTGTCCAGCCGTCCAGCTTTGAGCAGGACAGTTCTGCTTTGGACCAAAACATTTGTATACATTTACATGGGAGACAATTGCCTTTGTATACATTCTGTATAGGTGTCCTGCTTTAGAATGGTGGCAAGGTTGGACAGGCTGTGATGTTGTCCTTCTTGTTCCTAGCTTTTAAATCAGCTGTTGGTTCTGTGCCAGGCTCGGTAGTGTTGGGCTCTGCACAGCAATCGACCTTCGCTTTCAGGCACTACCATAGTCCATTGCGATGCTCTTCAGGCAGTTCAGGCAAGACGAGAAGCTGCTTGAAGCGTGGATCCAGTCCTGATGCTAGCCAAGCGACCTCGGTGTCGCTTCCATGGCCTGGGTCTGTTACAGACTGCTTCCTTAGGTCTGCAGCAATGCGCTCCTTCAGACGTCGAGCAAGAGCAGATTCCCGGGCAGATGTCTTGAGGTGTTGGCGCAGCAGAACGTTCACGATCGGACAGAGAAGGGTTGTGTTCCATGTTCAGCACTGTTGTGGCAACTTGCATTGGTTTCAGCGACTCAGTAACTATCTCCCTTGCCAAGTCCCATTGCGTACAGTAACTATCTCCCTTGCCAAGTCCCATTGCGTACAGTAACTATCTCCCTTGCCAGGTCCCATTGCGTACAGTAACTACAGTCAACTTCGCTAATAACGACTTCGGGTATAACGACAATTCGCGAATAACGACAGAAATTCCATGCCCAGAGCAAAGTCCCATCCCACTGTAATACATATAATGAGACTTCGGGTATAACGACACTTCGCGAATAAGGACACCTTTTTGACGCCCCGCCTAGTGTCGTTATAAGCGAAGTTGACTGTATCTCCCTTGCCAAGTCCCATTGCGTACAGTAACTATCTCCCTTGCCAGGTCCCATTGCGTACAGTAACTATCTCCCTTGCCAAGTCCCATTGCGTACAGTAACTATCTCCCTTGCCAAGTCCCATTGCGTACAGTAACTATCTCCCTTGCCAAGTCCCATTGCGTACAGTAACTATCTCCCTTGCCAAGTCCCATTGCGTACAGTAACTATCTCCCTTGCCAGGTCCCATTGCGTACAGTAACTATCTCCCTTGCCAAGTCCCATTGCGTACAGTAACTATCTCCCTTGCCAGGTCCCATTGCGTACAGTAACTATCTCCCTTGCCAAGTCCCATTGCGTACAGTAACTATCTCCCTTGCCAAGTCCCATTGCGTACAGTAACTATCTCCCTTGCCAGGTCCCATTGCGTACAGTAACTATCTCCCTTGCCAGGTCCCATTGCGTACAGTAACTATCTCCCTTGCCAAGTCCCATTGCGTACAGTAACTATCTCCCTTGCCAGGTCCCATTGCGTACAGTAACTATCTCCCTTGCCAGGTCCCATTGCGTACAGTAACTATCTCCCTTGCCAGGTCCCATTGCGTACAGTAACTATCTCCCTTGCCAGGTCCCATTGCGTACAGTAACTATCTCCCTTGCCAGGTCCCATTGCGTACAGTAACTATCTCCCTTGCCAAGTCCCATTGCGTACAGTAACTATCTCCCTTGCCAGGTCCCATTGCGTACAGTAACTATCTCCCTTGCCAGGTCCCATTGCGTACAGTAACTATCTCCCTTGCCAAGTCCCATTGCGTACAGTAACTATCTCCCTTGCCAGGTCCCATTGCGTACAGTAACTATCTCCCTTGCCAGGTCCCATTGCGTACAGTAACTATCTCCCTTGCCAGGTCCCATTGCGTACAGTAACTATCTCCCTTGCCAGGTCCCATTGCGTACAGTAACTATCTCCCTTGCCAGGTCCCATTGCGTACAGTAACTATCTCCCTTGCCAGGTCCCATTGCGTACAGTAACTATCTCCCTTGCCAAGTCCCATTGCGTACAGTAACTATCTCCCTTGCCAAGTCCCATTGCGTACAGTAACTATCTCCCTTGCCAAGTCCCATTGCGTACAGTAACTATCTCCCTTGCCAGGTCCCATTGCGTACAGTAACTATCTCCCTTGCCAAGTCCCATTGCGTACAGTAACTATCTCCCTTGCCAGGTCCCATTGCGTACAGTAACTATCTCCCTTGCCAAGTCCCATTGCGTACAGTAACTATCTCCCTTGCCAAGTCCCATTGCGTACAGTAACTATCTCCCTTGCCAGGTCCCATTGCGTACAGTAACTATCTCCCTTGCCAGGTCCCATTGCGTACAGTAACTATCTCCCTTGCCAAGTCCCATTGCGTACAGTAACTATCTCCCTTGCCAGGTCCCATTGCGTACAGTAACTATCTCCCTTGCCAGGTCCCATTGCGTACAGTAACTATCTCCCTTGCCAGGTCCCATTGCGTACAGTAACTATCTCCCTTGCCAGGTCCCATTGCGTACAGTAACTATCTCCCTTGCCAGGTCCCATTGCGTACAGTAACTATCTCCCTTGCCAAGTCCCATTGCGTACAGTAACTATCTCCCTTGCCAGGTCCCATTGCGTACAGTAACTATCTCCCTTGCCAGGTCCCATTGCGTACAGTAACTATCTCCCTTGCCAAGTCCCATTGCGTACAGTAACTATCTCCCTTGCCAGGTCCCATTGCGTACAGTAACTATCTCCCTTGCCAGGTCCCATTGCGTACAGTAACTATCTCCCTTGCCAGGTCCCATTGCGTACAGTAACTATCTCCCTTGCCAGGTCCCATTGCGTACAGTAACTATCTCCCTTGCCAGGTCCCATTGCGTACAGTAACTATCTCCCTTGCCAGGTCCCATTGCGTACAGTAACTATCTCCCTTGCCAGGTCCCATTGCGTACAGTAACTATCTCCCTTGC